TAGATTACCCCTTCACTAATCAAAACTAATAAATACGATGTATTTGTAAAAAATCAAACTCTTATATGTTATTCATCATTCTTAAAAAGATTCAAAATTATTGAATATAGTACAACATAAAATATCGATGTATTTATAATCTAACTTTTATGTTTTTCACCGTTCTGATAAGGTGATGGGTTATTCTTCTGAAGTCGCTGTCTATTAGAGGCCAATTTTGCATGCCCACATGATCATGCGTGTTTCCATGTTGTGTAAWAATTGTCATGCATTTTCATTTTTTTTTCTTTATTACGTAAAAGAAAATACATAGTTATACCGGACTGACTTCTAAATTTTTAATTCGGAAGCATGGCATCAATATATAGATACACTAAATCTATACTATCTATAGTCGGGTTATTGACATCATTGCCTTGGTATACCCCTATGAAAATGTTAATAAAAATGTTAAAATGTGAATTTAATTTTATTGATGCCTTTCTCCTGTTTTTGCGCACTCAATCCACGAAACAAAAGTTAAGTAGTGTACACTTCTATGTAAAATGGCATAAAAAGTAATGAATTTATAAATCGAACTTTTTTTCATGGATAAAATTTCCTTCTTTTCTTGGAAATAAACAGCTTGCAAGACTAAAGCCGCAACCTAAATAATTTTTTTCCGATTCCTTGTACGATAYGCGGGTTATTGCAAACAACTCTGATTTCATACCTTATTGAACTTTTCCCTGGCAAGCGCACTTGGAAACTAAGCTAAATATGAGCTCTACATACGGTTTCTTCCTCCTGACCTTAATTGCCATTATGTCCATTCCCATTGTAACACAAATATCTTGAAGTGTTGGTATTGAGAGTTTAGCAAGCTTATTGCTAGCTACGAGATCGCACAAATTGTATGTCCCGCATGTTATTGGGTGCTGAATAGTCACAGTATCAATAACTTCTCTTTGCATTTCTTGTACTAGGACTTCCCGCTCTCTTTCGAGCATATCTTTATCTTGCTCTGTGCTATCTAAATCTTGACGGGCCTTCCTTCGCCTTGCTGTTTCRCGCGAGAAGAACCCTGATACCTGTTGTGATGTGAGATATTCCTGTGGTTTGAACATGGTTTCTCCATTTTCATGCCTCGCCTTCCTCATACCTCTTGCTACTTCAGCAGGATCCGCCTTTCGTCCTGTTTTTTCTCCGAGGTCATACAGCTCTAGCAAGTACTTCTTTTGTTTGTCCGTGAAGCGTTTGTGTGACTTACTACTCTTCAGTGCCCATCCCATGGTAAGTGCKTTGTGGTTTGTGCGTCTGAGGGTAGTATCGTCATGTATCTCAGGCACATTTGAAGTAGCACCTTCCTCTAGCTTAGCAGCATATGACATCATAGCCTTGTCGTAGAGRGTTTCTCGCTCTAGGGCGTACTTATGGTTACCACAGTCGAGATGCCTTTGAAGAGAAGACAACCTTTGGTATGACTTTACGCAGCCTTCCTCTGTGCAGAAAAACAAACTCTCCTCATCATCTGAACTGTCCATAGGCAAGTTGGTTGAGGTATCTTCATCTCTACGAGCCTCACTTCTTTTCTTGGTTGATCGTACTGTTATATCAGTGAAGACTGCTTTCTGGACAGTTTCTTGACGGTTAACAGAATTTAATTCTGGAAAAGAACTCGGTAGATTAAATTCGTTCCAAGGAATGTATTTTCCTGGGCCAATTTGGTATGCTTTCCATACTCTTATGCCATCTTGAGTGTATTCAGCATTGTTAAGAAAACTGATTCCCTCCCATTTGTCATTCCACGTGGTACTATACGTCTGCTCGCCGCAAAGATTAACCCTGACGCCCGGTAACCCACCACCTGATTCCATTGCAACCACCATCTGGTCAGAAGTCTCTACATCATTGCCTTCATTAAGGTAAATCTTCATGCGGTTCTTTATGGTCGCGGCCTTACGGTCACATGCTCCCTTTCCMCCTTGGGGATCTGAAAAGTCTACTCTTGTTAGATGGATGCTGTTCTTTTCAGCAATTTGTCGAACTGACAGTAGCACTAACGCAGAGTGATAACAGCCTGCGTTATCCGATCTCWGCGACACTGTTGTAATTGYAGGCGACAAAGATCTTAGCTGGGAGAAAACATCATCTAAAATTGCAAGMACAGTCTCACTCTCTTGGGYGCACTTTCTAAAAACATGAACAAAGCAAAGCATTTGAATGTTATCTTCTTCGCTTTTCCTTATGGCCACAGTGATATGCCAGCTAATACCCCGTTTSGCAAACCAATCTCTCTGGGACTCACGAAACTTTCTAGGAAGAAATTTCATGGCCCAGTCGAGTATCAAAAGTGTAGATGTTTGGTCAAGATTTTTAATCATGTCTAGCCTTGCTTGATCCTGGTTAATGGACCTCAGAAGGTGTGCTTTCCAAGCAGTGATCTTATCAACAGCCTGTCCAATGGAATACTTCAAGTCATCTTTGACATCATCTTCAAGGTTTTCGATTGAAGAATATAGCTCGCAAACAACGTCRGGTAGTATGCTACATCGATCACATACGTCATTATGGGAGTGGTCACATTCTGATAGGTAGTCATCGTCATCGGCAGTGCTTAGGGCATACGGTCTACAATGATCAGCTACGGTGGATGACTCAGATACATGGACCTAAACAATGGAAAAGAAAAAAACGATAATATATGAATGTATGTGTGCTAAGTGCTAAAAGAAATATGAGCAATCCCCATTTTTAAAAGATTATTATTTTGAGTGGCGATCAAATKTCATCTTTTTATCACCTTATTACTTCATAACATTTAATCAAACAATACCTTAAAATCACTCTTGAGATATCGCTTTGCAGCTCGTAGCCTTTCATTTTGGGTTTTTGACCATGTAAGACCTTTGCTATAATCATCTCCAAGTTTGTCTACAATTTCTTCTAGTTCATCAAACCCATTTGCACCTTCGGCCGAAAAGTTATCCAAACCTTGCAGTGATCGTCTAACTGATGCTGAACAAACTTTCAGAATCCTGTGCAAGGTGCTTCTGCTAGGGGGTACAATCTTTATCTCACTGCAATGGCTTTYGTACTGTCTGATGATCTGCTCGGGAATCATGGTTCTGATGACATTAGRTACTTTAATGTTGGTGTTTGAAGATAGCTTTAAAGAACGTTCACCGTAAGGGATTTCTTGGACAACATGGCTGCTTGTGATGAATGTTAGGAAATGATCAAGCTTTCCTAGGTCTACATAGATTCGTGTTGTCGATTGGGTGGGAATAACTGCCCCTCTACCATGAAGGAGACGATGGTGCCGCGCAATATTATATCGATATCTGGACAAATCTGGTATCCATTGTAGAAGCATCTTGTATGGAACTTTATCAGCTATTATTGAAAGGATCTGCCTTCGTGTACTCCAGTGTAATGCATTCTGGTAAMATTCAGCCAGGGCGTCAATCAGAACAGAGTCAATRTCATTGGACAAGTCTCTTGCCTGCTGCACACTGTAAAAAAGACTATGGTGGTCATCGGGGGAAATTTCTTGGAGGCATGCGTCGATAACTTGCTTAGCTTTTCTTGTATGAAATCTCTTTKTTCGCGGGGCTGCGTCTTCCCATGCTGTAGACAAAGTATATCTAATGGGACTTAGGTCTCTCGAAGCAAGAAACTGGTTAAGCAAATCTCGTGGGGTAGTCAGGTTAGACACATCAGCCTGGGATTCATTAAGAGAATCATMGGGAGGTTGGTAAACACTGCCAGGAGTGTCAGGTGGATGATCAGGTTGTTGATCAGGTGGTAGCTTGAATACAACTTCACTATCCTAAAAGGAATATACGTTATATAGAAGAGGAGCCTATGGATAGGGTAATACGGAGCAATTTTGAAAGAAAACAAACGCAATTTCCAATGGCATTTTTTTACTATAACTTTCTCGGCTTATACTCTGCGGACATTTTTAAAAGCTTATATTATCATTATTMTTATTATCATTCAAAAAGTCAACTAGTCAAAAACGTTATTTATGTGTCAATTTCTGTATTTTCTGCTTATTAGGAACACAGAATAAATATAATTAAACTTAAAAATTAAAATTAAAATCCCAKTGATAAAAGAAACTTACCAAACTAAGATCACCTAAGGCATCTGTTAAGGTAGATAACTGGTCTTTCGATTGCTGTAATTTAGTTGTCTTCTTAATACAGTTTGTGCACATTGCTATAAACAATTTTTAAAAAAGCTTCAATCGTTTTTCTAATTAAGGTAGAGAGAACCCGACATTTAGTAGTCAAGGAAAGAGCAACTATCGAATACCCCGCARAAACCATCCTAATAAAGAGATACGCGTCAACTTTATTATAAGAGCGAGATATAAAACATACGCGTCACATTGTCGATTTTTTTTTAACAAACGCTATGTAAAATTCTATGCGTCAACTCGTGCTACGCAACAAATTTAGTCTGTCGGGCTACCTGTGTTGTTAAAAATAGGTAAATACTAAGCTTGCTAAGCGTCAGTGCGTATTGAACCCTGGATCTCTAGGTGAAGTCATACAGATTGAGAAATTTAGACTACCGAACGGTTATCTACTCTAATATATAATGTTAACGTAAAATTTGATGCAGAGTCTAACGCATTGAGTTTATTTACGCTCAGCATGTCACATGTCACTTAACAAAAACACAGGAAACAGGAATCACCAACGAAAAATTCCCCATRATATATAAAATATAAAAAAGAGCTAATGTGGGGWCGTTGTATTTAAGGAAATTTATTCAAACCTACCTGAGCCTACTTGGACGAATATTCCAGTCTTTCTCAATAACATTTTAGAAATGTTTTTTGTTACCCCTCTGTCCCCTTTAGRCAACTTTTGTCGCTTGCCTGTTTTCTTGATATTATGATCTGCAAACTCCAATGGTACTCGACATCTTATATTTGCCCCACGGCTCCATCCCACACCAAGATTCGATCGATGACTTGGGCATATCGTCATACTATCCACGTTTTTAGGAACGGTAAACAGACCCGCGCGACACAAAATTAAATCGACTTCATCTTCAGGACCAGTAAACTTACAACGACTCAAGTGATCTGAAATATCTTTGRAACAATTTAAAAACGGTATAACTTCTACATTTGAAGCAATCCTATCTTTTCGAAGCAATCCACAAGCACCTCCGACAAGCGATTTAAAAGAACAGCAGACCTCCATGACTGATCTTGCTGTGATGCATGAGATGGGACGTGAAACCCAATACTGGCTCACCCTTCGATTTGCTGAATCGTGATATCTAATTTCAACCGCTCAACTCTTTACGAACAAACTATTTCTAGCTTTAAAGCCATTTTGGGTCTCTGTACTTATTACTCATGTAGYGATAAAAACTTATTTATTGAAAAGGTTAATTTGTCTTCCTCTTGGGGGCTCTCTTATATACAATAATTTTCATCCAAATATTTTTGTCATTCGTAGCCTCAATAGCTTAGGAAAGTCTAAAGCAATTTTAATCGCCTTTTTTTTAATTTATTTCAAAAACAAAGCAAGTTTGTCGTAGTAAATATTGTCTAGACTTGTAAATTTCAACTACGAAAAACTCGAAAATGTGTCAAGTTTAAACGGTCACTACACAAAATCAAAGCAAAAGCACAAACTTTTTTTTACATCAAAAGAATAAGTATTCTATCGACTTTCAATAGCCTAAGTATCATTGAATAATGTCATATCGGACATGTGAAAAAATGCGTTTATTTTGGACACACTTTTGAGGTCGAAAAAAGTACTACTAAGTAATAAATTCACCAAAAAATTAATTTTGAATAAAACCACTTCAAACTATGAYTGCCGTAACTTGAGATGATGTACTAAACGCCTATAWACATTGAAGCCTTAGAGGTCAACTATTTTTGAAATACGAGGTCATTCAATTGTGTTGTTTTGAAAGTGATCTAATTAGCATATTGACCGACCCCGACTCTCGRCGCCATATCTCGAAAACCAAAAGCTATTTTCACTAATAAACTACATAGTGGTGATAGGTATACATTAGGCTACAACATATGAAAGTTTGGGCCAAATCGATTTTTCAACACTTGCCACGATATGTTTGGAGCTTGCTGACATTCGCTCTTAATAATTATTTAATGTAGTGCCATGGAATTTTTTTGTTGGCAAAAATACATTAGTCTTGACAAAACATGCACTAAAAATCTGACCAATGTGTCTTGCATCCCATCTTCATCCAACATGCATATCTTTTGCAGCTTTTGGAAGCTCCGCTATTAGGTTTTACCTAATTACTCGGGGTTCCAAAGGAATCCCCGAGTCTAAATTTCGGGCGTCTTTTTGTTATTGTTCATTGTCGTCGCTTATCAGTCACAAATTGTCCACAGGTAGCCCAAGCTCATAATCACGTGATATTCTAAAAATGCTTTTTAGAGGCCAAATTAGCGAAATATTATTATTGTCCTCGATAGAACATCTAAATGAAAGTATTATTGCGAAGTTTTTAGCCAAAATAATGCTTTTTAACAGAAATACGAGCAAACGAAAATTGGTAAGAATGTATGGAATTATCACGGTTCAATGCGTTTTAGACAGGTCAAGAAATACCTACAAAAGGCTGTGTTTTAAGATCTAAATGAATKTTTCATGTTCATGGCCAAAAGCAGCATATAATTCCCAACAATTATGCAAAGTTTGAAGTAAAACTGCGATTTTTTAGCAAAAATATAAGCATTTGAATATGGTCTTTACAAGGGAATGTATGGGAAAGCCTTAGTGTACTATCCAGTACACAACCACGCGGACAGTAACTCCGAGTGTCGAAATGAGCTCAGAACTAATGATTTTGCTCCAGTTTTAAAATCGGCATGTATATGCAAAAGAAAGCTCGAGATTCATGTCAAACAATCGACATAAAAATTTTGCAGTTTCTCTCATCGAAAACTCAATGATACAAGTAAACATACAGTATTTCAACTAAGCTTAAGTAAAGTGAATAAATGAACTTCACTTATAATAAAAAGCTACAGCCAGACTTCTAAAGTTGTTGGTTCGTCGCGCTAAAAGAACCTCTGTTCGCAGAGTAGGCCACACAGGGAATAATCACTAAAAGAAGTACTGAAAACGGCATTTTGTAAAAAGTTTTTTTGGAGATTTTGTTTTATAGGGAAAACTTTGAATTATAAACGGCAAAGAGTTAACACGCTCTGAAAATGCTGATATGCAAATTTCCAATTAGAAACCAACCATGACGAAGTGTCATGCAACAAGTCACGCTGAAAGACTAGTTGTGTATTAAGAGATAAATTAAAAAGACTACACAAGCTCAAGTTCATAGATAAATGTTTTTAATGCACATTACTAGTAACTTTATAGACAAATTGATAGAAATACAGTATTGGTAAACTAAAATTACTTTATTCTTTTACTTATATTATTAAGTCTTCTCAAGTATGCGTCCATAGACTTTCGGCATTCTCGCCAGACTGCTTCTTTCTGTGCTGGAGGAGTCGGATAATAATCGTAGACTGTTGTTATAATTTGGGAAACCCTTTCTGGATCTACTTTGCCCTTTCCACGTACACCGGCGATGTTCTTATTGATCAGTTCATCTGGCGTAAAATATTTCCGTAACAAATTAACAGCAAAGTTACAGTGAGACGTCGAAATAATCTGGAGGTTTGCAGACGCTTCTCGGTTCATCRGGAGACTGCTGGCTAGTTGATCTGGTGAAGGTGTAGTGACAGTGGCRGGATCAGGAGTTGGCAAAGTTACAGTCGAGGCAGGCGTAGAGATAACGGGCGTTGGCGTCTGATAAGGAGCAGTTGGAGCTGGAGGAGGCTGTTGTAATAGGACATCTAGTTTATGCTCTAT